CACCACCCGGAGCGCTCGCATCAGGTTTCTCCCCTCCTCCCCCCTTCCTTTTTTTGTCCCCCTTGCCAGTGCCCCCTCCCCCATTCTCTCCCCCACCTTCCTTGTTCCCTTTGCCCCACCAGGAGGCTACGCTACGGACTGGGACATGGACGACCTGATAGTGCAAAGGGTCGCAGAGACAAGTACGACTGGCGTCGAGCAAGCTGTGGAACACGGACGAGGACGTCATGATTTTCGTGCAAGGTATGGCTGTCCGCGGACGCCAAAGGAGATGAGTGAGCGGCATCCGAGGCCTGTGGGAAGGGGAGGTGGAGGGACTGAGGGTTAAATACTCTTAAATCAAAAATAGGCTTCTGGAACCACTCAAAAAATGCAGCATTGTCATCCAAATGCACAATTTCCAGCAGGAAGGGTACTGGACTTGTTGGTAGCTCATACGGACACTCTCGGACGTCGTGGCAGTGACCACGTCCGGCATTCCGGGGGGGGGCCGCCAGAGACGCGTTAGATCGATTGGGAAGACATGGAATTACGAGATTATTCCAGGCAATGCATCATATCCTGCCTCACGCATAAGAAATCTTCCATCGAAACCACCCAGCCCATTGTTGGAGCTGCACGTCTCGTCTTTTACTTCTTGCTTCATTCCTAACCGCTTCCTGCTCGCCTTTTCTACTCGCGCGGACACGGCCAGCGACTTGCTGTCTCCAAGCCCCAACACCTGCTCACTTTGGCGTACGCCCATCCCTGCGAAATACATACAAACGGACACAGACACGTTATAGGGTTGTGAACACGAATAATGCCGCCCATATTGCTGGAGGACGCGGCAATCGACGCATTATTCACGGAGGTGGAGGCTTGTGCTAGGGAGGACGATGGGGAGGTACACCCGCTACCTGTCCGATTACTGCAAGACAGTGTTTCAGGCGAAATGGTGGCATTGCCGCCCGCCATCGCTCAAGCCGGGGATGAAAATTATTTTTTCGAGCGCATTGCAGCAACTACCACACCTTTTGGGTTGCCGGTGCCGGGAGCTCGGGAGCTGTTGATGGAGAGGTATTTGGAAATCGAGGCCTTACTCGACGACATGGTACGTGATGGGCGGTCGACCTGAGTTGTAATCGCGTCACTTTTCCTTCTTAAATTCAAGAAAGAGGGTGGTGTCGGAGCTTCGCCTTGGTTGCCTCAAGCCTTTCACAGCCCTTTTCAGTCATTCTCCGCATCGTCCCCTCCCGTCCCTACCTTAATTACATCGAGACATTTTATCCAGGACATCCTATTGATCTTATTCCCTATCAATCTTCAATCATCACCCGCGTAAGCCTCCCCCTCCCCTCCCCTGGCACCCCTCCAAATCCATCAGATCGACGCCTGCGAGGGCGGGCGGCCGGACACGAAATTGTGGACCCGGAGCTACTACACGTCCGCCTTGGAAACGGTCCTCATATCGCCCCCGCGCGCGACGCTGGTGGCCGACGACCCCGACTTGGTCGCGGCGGGCCTCGATCCGACCGGGGCCTGGTATGGGAAGACCGTGCGCGAGGTGCCGGCGGAGGGCGGGGAGGAGGGCGGGGAGGAGGAGGCGGCGGAGACTGGAGCCGGGGTGGGGATTGCGGTGCATAGAAGGACCAAGCTGGGAGGTTTGGGGCGGTTGAAGGACTACAGTAAACGAAG